CTTTCCGTCTTTCGGAGACCCTTCACTCTTCGTTCGTGCTGGCCAGACTCCGTTCTACATCCTTGTTTACGTCGACGACCTGGTCTTTGCCACAGCTGACAGGGACGCATTGCCTCCAGGACCTTGGCGTCACCACTACGTTCCCTGGTCACGAGCGGTATGCTGTCTGTACCGAGGCCGCCACTGGTGCCCCCCTGTCCACGTTCCCCCGGGACCCAGTGTCCGGCCTGTTCACTCTGGACACCGTGACCCCCCCGGCTGGAGCGCTCCCTCAGGTGGCTGCGTCTACCCAGGTTGCTGCTGCCTGCTCCTGTCGGTCCCTCACTCACCCGACTCTCCTTTGGCACCACCGCCTAGGTCACCCTGCGCTCCCGCGTCTGCGTCACATGTCCCAGCACGGTCTTGTCCTTGGTGTCCCAGGTTCCCTCCCCGCGTTTCCCTCCTCCCCAGCCCCACCTTGACCGCCACGTGTCGAGGGTCGGCTTCGCCGTGCCCCGCAATCCTCCTCGTTTCCCCCTACCGCCGCGCCGCTGCAGACCCTGCACCTGGACGTCTGGGGCCCCGCCCCCGTCCCTGGGCCGCGTCGAGAGCGCTACTTCCTTGTGCTTGTCGACGACTTCACTCGTTACACCACAGTCTTTCCCCTGGAGCGCAAGGCCGACGTGCCTGGCGCTCTCATCCCCTGGCTTGTCTCTGCGCGTGTCCACCGCGGTCTCCCTGTCTTGCGTCTTCACTCCGACCATGGTGGCGAGTTTGCCTCAGGTGTCCTTGGTCGCTTTTGTCGTGCGGAGGGCATCACCCAGTCGTTCACCCTACCGGACTCCCCACAGCAGAATGGGGTCGCTGAGCGACGCATCGGTTTGGTCATGGAGGTGGCTCGCACCTCCATGATCCATACCGGTGCACCCCATTTTCTGTGGCCGTTCGCTGTGCGCTACGCTTCTCACCAGCTTAACTTGTGGCCGCACCCTCAGCAGCCGCAGGTTTCGCCGACTCGTCTTTGGACTGGGTCTCCTGGTGACGCGTCTGCGTTCCACGTCTGGGGCTGCCTTGCTCACGTCCGTGCCTCCGGCACGGACAAGCTCACTGCCCGCACCCTTCCCTGCGTCTTCCTCGGTTTTCCCCTTGACGCGTCCGACTGGCACTTTTACCACCCGCCGTCTCACCGCTTCTTTCACTCTCGTGACGTCACCTTTCACGAGTCCGTCTCCTACTACCGTCGCTTCCCCCACCGTGGTCCCCCGGTTACCCCCCCCCTGTTCCTGGTCACTCCTTCCCCGGTTGTCCCTGCCCCTCCTCCTCCTCCTCCTCGTCCCGCCCCCTCTGGTGTGTCCCACGTCACCCCCCTTCCGTCGGTGGACCCGGTTGAGGAGTCTTCTGACTCTGGTGGCCCTCCTGTTCAGTCCTCGCCGGCCGCCCCTCCCCTGGCGTCCCCTCCCCAGTCCCCCCCTCCCCCGCCTCTGCCGCCGCTGCAGCCGTCGTTGTCGCTGCTGCCGCCGCCGCCGCCGTCGCAGCACCCGTTCGCAGGCTCTAGGGGTGCTCGTCCCGGTAGCCCTGGGGGTTGTCCCTCTGGGGGTGCTGGTGTGGAGAGTGCCGGTGGTAGCCGAGGAGCAGCTTGCGGTCCTGGTGTCGCCGTTGTGCCGCCGCAGTAGCGGTCTCCGCCGGTGTCAGCCCTTCGCCTGCTCGGCCTTCCGTCCCCCGACCCTGCGACGGTTCCTCCCCGGCCGTCTCCTCCTCTTCCTGTCTACGGCCGTGTCTTCCCTCCGCCGGACTCGTCCCCGGCCCATCTCCCCCCTCGTTTCCCTCCTGTGTCCCCTCCTCTGTCTCCTGACCCGACTCCTCCATCGCACGTCTGGTCTCACCGTCCCTCCCGCGCTTGTCCTGCCTTGCCTGTCTTGCGCTCCCACCCTATGGTGCTTCGTTCCCACGCGTCTCGTCCTCCCCTTCTGCCGTCGCCTCCTCCGTCCTCCCTTGTTGTTGCACCCCCCCCGCTGTCTGACTACCTTCGTGCCGCTCGTCCCCTTGTTCCTCGAGTCCTTGCCTCTCTCGTTACCGACCCGTCTGTTCCGACCTCGTGCCTTGACGCTCTTGTCGCTACTGTCGCTGACTTCGCCTCTACCCACCGCCTTGACTACGCCTCCGCTCTGGTCTCTGACCCTGCCTGTCCTCCGTCTGTCGGGGGTGCTCCTGCCCTTGGCAGTGACGTCCTGGAGGACCGCCAGTTCGAGCTTGCTTTCCTGTCCGAGGCTGCTCCCCATCTCTGTTCCATGCTGCTAGTCCCTGAAGGTGACCCAGACGCTTTCGACATCCCGACCCCTCGCACTTACGCTGAGGCGACTTCGGGACCCTGGGCCTCTGAGTGGATAGCTGCCATGGAGCAGGAGATGGCATCTTGGAGATCCACCGGCACCTTCGTCGACGCAGTTCCCCCACCTGGGGTGAACGTAGTCGATGGCCGCTGGCTCTTCAAGGTGAAGCGCCCTCCTGGAGAGCCGCCTGTCTTCAAGGCGCGCTATGTCGCTAGAGGCTTCAGTCAGCGCGAGGGGGTGGACTTCTTCCAGACCTTCGCTCCGACCCCGAAGATGACTACTCTTCGGGTTCTGTTACACCTAGCTGCTCAGCGTGACTACGAGCTTCACTCTCTCGACTTCTCCACTGCCTTCCTTCAGGGCAGCCTACACGAGCAGGTCTATCTGCGGCGCCCTCAGGGCTTTACTGGCACCTTCCCTCTTGGGACCCAGTGGCTCCTGCGGCGCCCCGTCTATGGCCTGCGCCAGGCTCCCCGTGAGTGGCACGACACTCTCTGTGCTACGCTTGCTGACCTGCAGTTCTTTCCGTCTTCCGCAGACCCTTCAGTCTTCGTTCGTGCTGGCCAGACTCCGTTCTACATCCTTGTTTACGTCGACGACCTGGTCTTTGCCACAGCTGACAGGGACGCACTGGCCTCCGTGAAGGCAGAGTTGCTGAAGAGACACATGTGCACTGACCTTGGAGAACTGCGCCGTTACCTTGGCTTGCAGATCTCCAGGGACAGAGCTGCGCGCACCATCACCCTGACTCAGTCACACTTGGTGCGCCAGGTCCTTCAGAGGTTCAGCCTTCAGTTCTCCTCTGCACAGCCCACCCCTCTGCCTGTAGACCATAGACTCTCCGCTCCAGTGTCTGAGGAGTCGGTAGAGCCCAGCGGCCCCTACGCAGAGCTGGTGGGTTGCCTCATGTACCTGATGACTTGCACTCGCCCAGATCTCGCGTACCCTCTCAGCATCCTGGCTCGCTTTGTGGCCACAGGCAGACACCGACCGCAGCACTGGTCTGCCGCTAAGAGGGTTTTACGTTATCTTGCTAGTACATCGGGCATGGGGTTAGTGCTAGGAGGACGCAGGCCAGTGGTCCTTACTGGACACACAAACGCTTCGTGGGCAGACGATGCCGAGACACTCAGGTCTACCCAGGGCTAGTGCTTCAGCCTTGGCTCAGGTGCCGTCTCGTGGAGAGTTACCCGCTCCTCCTCTGTTGCCCAGTCCAGCTATGAGGCTGAGATCTACGCTGGTGCCATGGCGGCACAGGAGCTCCGCTGGCTGACCTTCCTTCTCACTGACTTAGGTGAGCGGCCTAGCTCTGCCCCGGTCCTGTACGCTGACAACAGGGCCATGATCCTCCCGTGTCAGGAGCCTCGACTCGAGGGCAGAGCGAAGCATATTCAGCTGCGATACTTCCTCCTGCGCGAGCTACAGCAGCGACGCCAGGCTCGCATAGTACACTTGGCCTCAGATGCCAACACAGCTGATATCTTTACGAAGGCGCTTGCGCCTAAAGATCATCAGCGGCACTGCGTACAGCTTGGTCTAGTTCCTGTAGCCTCTCACTTGCTAGGGCCTTGACTTTGTACTGTCCTTTATCTGCCTACTCAGACTGGACTTGTGTCCTCTCCCAGTGGCTGGACTACTAGTGCCGCCCTGCTCTTGTTCTTGCCTTGTTTGTTCTCCTTCTGACTTGTCTCTCAGACCCTTGTCTCAGAGGTTGGACTAGTAGTGCCGCCCTGAGCTGTTTGTTTAGGGCATTCCCCTATGCAGTCTAGGGGGTGTGTCAAACATGTGTATTTGTCATGTTTGTATAGACTGTATAGGGTCGCCTCTTAGAGAGTACAACACTTAGGTATATCTGTGTGTACTCGTACGCTATCCAATCATTCACTTCTCAATTTTGATTCCGCTGCACTACTCAAATATCTTGTATAACTGGTACTTAGTCTCTGAAAGTTCCTAAGGGTTTTTTCTCAGCCCAACAGCATTCTGCCAGTTTTTTGTGTTGTAGGGAGAAATGCTTTGCATGGGTTCTTTTGAGGAAAATGATGGCAAACATCCGTTAGTTTGCTGGTTTTGTAAGCTATGAAGACATTTCGATTACACCCAGCTGTCACTATCGATTCTTGGGAAATTTGATTCATGGGTTCCTCAGCGAAACAAGGCGAAGCACATCAGTCGTCCAAGGTCGCAGGCGGGTGCTGAATATATTTTTCTCCCACCAAAGCTTCGCCTTCCCACCAACGAACCGTTGCGTCCGGTCCGGTCATCCCATTGCCACTTATGCACGGGGTTCCTTTCGTCTTCTGCCTTCTCGCTGACACCATAACGGCAAAGAGAAAAGTTTCATCGGCAGCGCATCGCAAATGTGAAGACAAACGATCCTTGTCGTTGGTGCTGCTGCTGCCTGCGATTCGTCTCGGCGAAACGACGAATGCCAAACACCACGAGCGACTGAATGAAAAAGTTGGGCGGGCAACTTCACACGCCAGCTTTGGGGAAATTTGGAGAGGGCGGAGGAGAAGACGTCTCACGCGCCTCGCAATTTTTTGCAGCACGGATCGCATTTGAGAGGCGCAATGCGGGGAATTTCTCAACACGTTCACCCGCCTTGCTCTCCTGCTTCCCTTGCCACTCCCATTCTTCCATCCTCCCGCATCCATTCAAATTCAGCTCAATGCAGAGAAATTCAGCTGAATGTGTGTACCGTCCAAGTTAACGAGTGTCGATTACCTTACCCTCCTCTCCACTTCAACAGTTCGTTGAAGACGTTAGAAAGCCTGCGCCTCCATACACCATCTTATAAGAATCCCGTGTGTGCGTCTTCGTCTCAAGCCTGATTCAAAGTTCCTTGCAGGACGACATCGCCATGTCGCATGTTCTTGCAAAGATGAAGGCGCTACAAACAGGCTGCAATTCTTTTTTCCGAAACTGTCTGGGGGCCCTCCTATTCCTCCACCTGCTCTCCTCCTTCAGCCTACGCGCCGCCGCGCAGTACAAATTCGACAGCCTGCCCACGCAGGAAGCGCCGATTAAAGACAAGCGCTGGCACTTCGGCAGCGCCACGTTCTACGGAAACGACATGCTCGTCGGCAACTCCGGAAACTGCGGATACCCATACAGCTTCGTCAACAACCGCACGCAAGTCGCGGTGCCGGACCCGCGCTGGTCCAACACGCTCACGTCGGGCGTCGGCAACTTCAAGGGCGCGGCGTGCGGTCAGTGCTTCATGGTGAAGTGCCTCTCGAAGCCGCGATACGGCGGAAAGGTCTTCTGCCGTAACAAGAAGCCGGTCATGGTGACAATAACGAACTTCGACACGCCGCGGTCGGAGGGCTGGCCCAACAACCACTTCGACTTCTTCCGCACGGGATTCGAGAAGATCGCGGACCCGGACTCGGGGATAGTGAACGTCATGTGGCGCAGGACGCGCTGCCCGAAAACCGCGCCCAAGTACACGGTCAAGGGGAATCCGTTCTGGCACGATATTACCGTTTACGACGTGCCTGGAGTCGGCGCCATCACGGGCGTGTGGGTGAAACGCGCGGGGAGATCGGACTGGGAAGCGGCGAGGCACTCGTGGGGAGCGCATTGGGTGGTCACGGGGAGGGTCGACTGGGACGATAAGAAGACCAAGGTTCGCGCGCAAGTGGCGGAGTCGCGGCGGTATATTTTTCCGTCTCGCAAGCAGGCGTATTGAACGGCTGATTTGCTGGCGGCCATAGTAAGTCACGAATCTCGTTAGCCTCTCAAGAGTGCTTGAGACTTAGGAATAGCTAGGATAGCCGTTGGAAGCTGTTCGGCCTTCACAGCTTTGATAGTTAAAAATGTTTCATCAAATTGCCCGTGGTTCATAAAAAAAGACAAGGAGGGGTGTGGCGAATTTGCCAAGTAAATGCTACAGTGACAGCAACTGGATTGTGACGCGTGGTTCGCTGTGGAGCGGACTAACCTCGAAGAACAGAAAATTGCCCCTCGAGGGTTGGAACGGTGAAGAACCCTTCTGTAATAGAGCTAAACGGTACCCCTGAGATTAAAACGCCAGTAAGGGTTACCGTTAATCTAAAAACCCGGTTCCCACTGCACATGCCAGCACATACTAGCTCAGGAGGGTTTGCATGCTGACAGTCTTCCACGTCAATTCCTTGTAGACCATCCACACTGCTCCAAGGGAGGGATCCTATCACCCTGCGCCGTGTCATCCGCGAGTGTCTGACGGACCTAGGGACAACCTGGAGACTTCTCCGAACAGAGCCCGGGCTCTCCACGAGCAAATTGTCAATATACAATACACTAGTTAGTATATCTGATATCCTAGCTAGGTCAGTTATGAAATAAATCGTCTGATGTTGTAAGAGACTAAGTATAAAACTATAAATGCGAACACTTGGCAAATCCTCAAGTGTTGGTCCAGGATCTTTGCTGGAATGGTAGACTAGTAAGACAGCGGAAGTCTTGTAAAATGTAAAGGTCAAGGTTGAATAACCTGAGTACGTGAACTTGTGAGTAATCAAAGTTAATAATGAAAAGGACCTAACAGAGATTTATCGTTCTACGAAAAGTACCTATTCGCTAATGTACCTGTTCGTCACTATCGCGCTATGCGCCCTAGATGATAATGAAGGGGTGCGACTGTTCGCGTGACTGAAACGACTGTCCTATGACGAGCGCTATTTGCTGACGTCATCCTACGGACTTATCTTCTACAGTATGATTCGACACTAACTGCACATAATCGACTTACAGAAATGCTAAGTATCAATTATATCACAACAAGTTTTTTGGGGTATAACCCCACTCTTGTACAACCCTCCTCAGTCAACTTTTTCAGCGCTACTCTAACATGATATAGGGCTAGGGATAGGTTCTCCTTAACGCTACGCTTCCGCCCGTAGTGAAGTTTTTTTTAGTTTTTTTTTTTCCCGCGTTACTCCCACTCACCAATTGCGCACTCCTTAGCTCCCTCCCCCCCCCCCCCCCCCCCTTTCCCCCCTAGTGTCCTCTCCGTTGCGTACGCCAGCCAGCCGGCCAGCGTGCTCGCCAGCCGATGCACTAGCCAGACCACTAGTCGCCAGCCAGTTCGCCAGCCAGCGCGCAAGCCAGCTAGCTAGCAACGCCAGCCAGCGTGCCAGCCAGCCAGCCGACATGCCGGCCAGCACGCTATCCGGCCAGCGAGCACGCCAGCCAGCTAGCCAACCTGTCAGCCAGCGCGCCAGCCAGCTCGTAGGCCCGCCAGCCATCTCGTAGGCCCGCCAGCCAATACTCCAGCCAGCACGCCAGCCAGCGCGCCAGCAAGTACGCCAGCGCGCCAGCCAGTACGCCAGCCAGCACGTGCACGAGCCAGCACGCCCGCCCGTCCGCGCGTCAGCCAGCTAGCACCCAGACCAGCCGGCACACCGCCCGCCAGCGCTCCAGCCAGTTCGCCATCTGCGGCCGCCAACCATCTCGCTGCTGGCTCGCCAGCCCGCAGCTGCCAGCCAGCCGCTAGCCGCTGCCGTCAGCCAGCGCGCCAGCCAAGCTCGCCATCTGCGGCCTCCAACCAGCTTGCTGCTGGCTCGCCAGCCCGCAGCCGCCAGCCAGCAGCTAGCCGCTGCCGTCAGCCAGCGCGCCAGCGAGCTCGCCGCCGCCGCCGCCCACCCACCCACTAGCCACTGCCGCTGCGGCTCACTGCTGCCCTCTGCCGCCCGCTGCATCTGCAGCCCCTGCTGCCGCCGCTGCCACTGCATCCGTCGCTGCCACAGCTGCTGCCGCTGCAACCGCCCCTGCAGCCACTGCCGCCACTTGCCGCCAGTGCTAACTGCCAGCTCGCCAGCGCCAGCCCGCCTCTAGCCACCAGCACTGGCCGCTCGCCGCCAGCAGCCCGCAGCCAGTGCCAGCACCAGCACCAGCTGCCCGCCGCTAGCCGCCAGCTGCATGTAGCCACCGCTAGCTGCCTGCTACAACGTGCTGCGCGTTGCTGCCCGCAGCCGCCAGCAGCCGCCCACTACTGCCGCTGCTGCTGCCACTGCCGCCCACTGTCCCTGCAACTGCCGCTGCCGCTGCCGCAGCTTCTATTGCTCACTGCCACCCACTGCTGCCCGCTACTGCCCACTGCAGCCTACTACCGCCCACTGCCGCTCCAACCGCAGCCGCCTGCAACCGCGGCTTGGTGTCCCCTACTCGCAGCTTCTCAAAGCCGCATCCCACAGCTCGCTGCTGCAGTCGTCGCGGTCGTTGTCGCCACTGCCGCCAGCTGCCGCCATGGCAGCCCCGCCTGGCACTGTCCTCCACATGAACGCCGAGGGTCGCACCCTGGGGTTCTCTGTCTGGCTGGTCGCCCTCCGCCGCCAGCTCACCTCTTTCCACCAAGACGGCCAAGCCCTCGTGGACCACACTCTGGGTACGTTACCCACCCCTCCCAAGTCGGTTGCTCTTGCTGCTGATGCGACGTCCGAGCAGTGGATAGAGTTCGAGACTGCCCTCTCCGCCCTTTCTGTTTGGCAGTCCCACGACACAGCTGGGCAGCTGGTAGTCACTAGGGCCGTTCCTCCAGATGAGCAGACCCACTTTGACACCCTAGAGATTGCTCGTGAGATCTGGGACGTTTTTGTCGCTCGCTACTCCACCCAGTCCTCCATTACCCTAGGTCGTCTTGTGCTGCCGTTCCTATTACCTGACCTAGCCTCCTTCTCCACTGTACCGGACCTAGTTGCACACCTGCAGTCCCTTGAGGCTCGCTGTTGTGCAGCCTGCCCTGAGGAGTGCCGCACCACCCACTCCCCGCCCGCCTACCTCACACTGTACCTCCTTGCCACCCACCTCCCCGACCGTCTCGCTCCTGCGCGAGATGCTCTCCTCGCACTGCCTCCCACCTCCTTCACTGTCGCTGAGTTTTCCACCACTCTGACGACGGTTGATTCGCATCTCCGTGCCATCGCTGACACCACTGGCACGGTGACGGTCCTCGTCTTTCAGGGCTGCTCTGTCCTCCAACTCCATGTCTCTAGGGCCTTGCTTCTGTCGCAGTGGCCACCGAGACTGTTGCAGCGATCACCGCGCCTGGTTGCTCCTCTGGACAGAGGGGCAAGGGCAAGGGGGGCAAGGGTCGTGGGGCGTCGGTAGCGGCAGCTGGAGGGGGTGCGGGGACGAACGGCGATGGTAGTCAGTCAGATTCAGGGGCTGCACAGCAGCAGCCACCGCAACAGCAGCAGCAGCAGCTGTGGTGGGGGCTAGCAGGCCCTGGGAGTGGTGGTCGTGGTGGAGGCCATGGAGGTTGGGCCCCAAGGCAGTCGGTGCTCTAGGGGTCGCTTGGCTCTTCTGTAAGCCAGGGTGATGGTGGTCCTGGAGGCGCGGTGACTTGCATGTACCAGCTGCTGACCAGCCCCGAGGTGGGCTAACTCTGCGGGCGCCGCTCACTGCTACCGCCGCCTGGACGTCCTCTACCATCACTAGTACGACCCCCTGGTACAGGTATCTCCTTTGCCCACTCTGCTTCGTCGTGGCATCCCGATATTTGATATATACAGCGACGGAATTAATTGGGCTAGAAAAGGTACACTAGTATAAAGATTCTGTATTTTTAAGCATGTATCGTGTACATTTATCCCGAGGTACCCATTGTACCATGTGATTCAAGAGTGAAGCATCCTTATGATGTATGGTATTGTATGTTTTATCGAACTGCTTATAGTGAGTCCACCACTTTGCTAGCGAGACTCGATGCGGACAATTAGCTTCCGATTCGAGTCTAGGTCTATTTTCTTACGGCATTTCGCGATCTCGCAAACCTAACCTCCTAGTCTTTATCGACAGCATAACGTGAACCCCGCCAGACTCATAGCAATGATGCGGCCTCTTTCTTCGCGCCAGAAAGATAGGATCGCGACCTTGCTTCGACACGGTCACAGCTTCCGTCAGATCGCTAGAATGCTAGGGATAGGAAAGAGCACAGTTCAGAAATACGCTCAAGAGGCCTCTCTGCGCACCAGCCGCCTAGCAGTTAGGCCAACAGTCCCGAGGTCTGGCCGACCGCGCCTGCTCTCAGTACGTGACAGGCGCATCCTTGTTCGCGCTGTGACTTCAGGCGAGGTGAAGACTAGCGTAGAAGCCGCAAAGCTACTGGAAACAGACCATGGCATTAAGATCTGCCCCAGAGTAGTCCGCAACGCCCTCAAACTGTCTAGCCTAGTCGCCGTCCAACAACCGAAGAAGCCACGTCTCTCCGCGCGTTACTTCAGAGACAGACTGGATTTCGCTAAGGCCCACGTTGACTGGACCTTGGACGACTGGAAGCGAGTGGTCTGGTCTGATGAGACCAAGATCAACCATTTCTGTAGTGACAGCAGGACGTATGCATGGATTCGCGACCGGGCGGCTCTTCAAGGGCAACACATAAAACAAACAGTAAAGCATGAGGGTGGGTCAGTCATGATATGGGGGTGTATGACGTACGATGGCCCTGGATACATGTGTAAAATCGACGGTCGTATGGACGGGCAGCTGTATCGAAGCATCTTGCAGGATGAGCTTGCACAAATCATTGAGTTTTATGACCTTACTACCTCTGATGTCATTTTCCAGCATGACAACGACCCCAAGCACAAGTCCCGCCTTGTGCAGGAGTGGTTGTCAGAGCAGGAATATTCAGTCCTGCTGTGGCCCTCTTCATCCCCATATCTCAACCCCATCGAGCACTTGTGGGCCCATCTCAAACGCGAGCTGTCCAAGTATGAGCACCCCCCCTCAGGAATGCTCCAGACTTGGGAGCGGATTCAAGAGATCTGGGAGGGGATAGATGCTGATGTGTGCAGGGGGCTCATTGATAGTATGCCTAGGAGGGTGAAGGCAGTGGTTAGGGCTAAGGGAAAATGGACTAGGTACTGATTTCTGGGAGTCTTTTGCATACTTTGAACATGGCACAAACTGTCCGAGTGTACTTGTGTGTGTATGGATTTTGCCCAGACACACTATACTGTACTTTCAGGGCTAGTTCCCATGTGACATTCGTGTATAGGCATATGTTTAACTCTTCCTTAAAACCTGGCAGTTAATAAGCTGCATCTCTAAACTCTATACACGATTATTCGCCTAGAGAGGCTGAGATGTGGACAATTTCTTCCGTCGCTGTAAGTTGATCACTCTAGTGTTGCTGGTTCCTAATATTTGCTTTTTGTAGTCCAAGATCCACTGCTGTGTGTAGTCTAGGATCCCCTGCTGTGTCAGGTGTAGAATCCACTGCTGCATTAGGCGTAGACTCTCGTAGTGATCCCTCACTGGGCCTCGCCATATCGGCCATCTCCTTTCCACTAGACTCTGTCGCGTCACACTACTTCTCTCGTGACACGACTGCTCTCAACCCGCTTCCTGCACCCGCCCGCGTCGCACTAGCGGACTCACCAGCCACCGTTGTCGTACGTAGCACCA